CTATAAATATAGGTTTTAATCAGCTGTGGGTCCTACTGTCTAGCATGATTAGCAGGGCATCTAAACAAATAATTATTAAACCCTTATTGAAGGGGATACGGTTAATGCTCTGCCTAGATACTCTTGCATCCCCTTCATTGTCTCTGCTCTCCTCTCCTGGCTCCAGGGTGCATCTGCCTTCACTAACCAGCACCTGTTCCCCTCCAGAGGACCATCCTTGGGCCTCTAGAGCTGCCTTGCTTTTTGGTGTAGGGAGCTGGAAGTGTCTGGAGCCCAACCTCACCTTGCTGGCCCTTAGGTAACGATGCGGGTAGGAGTGTGAAAGCCTTTCACCTTTGCCTTGAGTAGGAATAACTCTGAGGGGAGGCTGAAGCTCGCCCCCCGCCCCGGGACCCTGCCTAAGACTACAGTCCTGCCTCAATTGTCCTTTACCGCAGCCCTTAACAGATGATTTGCCCCTGATTCCTTATCACAGATTCTGCTTCTGGGGAACCTGAATCAAAGTCACTTATTATATGTCAAATATTCTCCTGGATACAGTGTAAATACTGCTTATTGATCCCCACAACACTTTAAGGTGATTATATCATTATCCTTATTTCATTGAGAAATATACTGTCTTAAGGAGAGCAGACAGCAGCAATTCACTGGAGGTGGTTAGAGGTTCATTGCTTTGCCTTCTTTCCTGTCCTTCTTGCCCACTGACATCTTATTTAGTATGACTACAGGATTATCTTTTGAGGTACAGCTACCATGTTGGGATGGTTTTTCTGAGCAAACAAGACCATATTTTGGAATTATCTATATAAAGCCCATCACCAATGAAGATATCACAATAATTCACCTTGTTTCGGGACTTATAAATGTCGATGTAACCAAGAGGCTATAAAACATTCTTTTGCATAGGAAAAACAAGCTATCCTAATGACCAGGAGAATGCTTCTGCATTTACTAAGACCTTAGCAAGAGCACTGGGTAAAGCCCATAAGGGTAAGGGGCAAGCCTTTGGGATCAGACACATCTGGCTGGAGTCTCAGCATCTCTGCTGACAAGCATTGTGACCCTGGGCCAGTTATTTAATCTCATTAAACCTTAATCTTCCCACATGTAAAATGGAGACTATAATACCTATTTTGGAAAATTGAAATAAGGATTAAATAAAAGAATTAAAAATGTGTATAAAGTTCTTGGCACAATGTCTGGCATAGAGTACACATGAAATCAAACCTTTGGCTTTTTAGATTTTATTTATTTATTTGAGAGAGAGAGAGAGCAAGGGCAGGGAGAAGGGCAGAGGGAGAAGTAGGCTCCCCACTGAGCAGGGAACCCGACTTGGGGCTCCATCCCAGGACCCCAGGATCATGACCCATGCCAAAGGCAGACGCTTAACCGACTGAGCCACCCAGGCGCCGCAGATCCTGTCTTTTCAGCAGGGATCCCTGTGCTCCCACACCATTTTACCAGTCTGTTGTCCTGATGGCACGGTTTCCCAAGCTGGATCCTGTGAAGTATTAAAGTCTTTAGCAGAGGACTTTCGCTGCCTTTAATATGCAAAGTTGAGAGAAATAAATCAACATTTCCAAAGTGACTTGGCTGTAAAACCCTTTATTTCATGGAGCACTTATTCATACTTCAGTGAACCACCCAGGCGCCCCTCAAACCATTTTTTATTAAAATGATGTCCGGCACATATTATGTGGCGTAACTCAGTGATTGAGCCAGAAACAGAAGTACATCATTTGCAGACCTTGATGGTGCAATAATACACAGCTGCTCACGGACCTCCTCATAGGCCGTGTGTGGTAGGCAGGCCACATCTTGAAAACTCTGCATTAATGCAGACTTGACCTTCTGACATAGATGCCGATATACCATTTTCCATTTACCAGAGAGAGGAATGCCATAGACGACTGTGCCCCCTGAATAATCTGCCCACTAGCCCGCTGCCTTGTACATTTCCCAAGATTGCTTAGGAAAGACGATAAAGACTTGTTCTCTTGTTCAACATTTAATTTTGGGATCAATGTAAATTCACATGTAGTAATTAGAAATAATACAGATCCCCTATACCAGTTTCCTCCAGTGGCAACATCTATAAACATCTGATTTTAAAAATATTTTTTGAGTAAGTATTCATACCTTCCCTGACATAGGCAAAAACACTGAAAAATCTTCTTTGTTTTAGAGAGAATGCAAATCACAAGAACCAGTCTCTTTTGTCAAGAATCTGAAAATCAACTGGAGCCTTGATTTTTGGCATCAGGAACTTTGAGTCACAAAGGAAAACTTATATATACACATCCTTTATTTTGCCTCAGAAATAAAACTAAAGACTTTTACATGCATATTTTTTTTTCAAAACCATAATGTTTGCGAAGTTCTTTTTTCTTTTTTTCATTGCTCGCATGACTAGATTGCATAGAAGGTGAGAATTACCGATCTTGCGGTCAGAGCCGGGTCGTTCGAGGCAGCGAGCATGTTTCCTGACCGAGAGGTGGTGGCTTCCACACAAGGACCTTTAGGGGGGTTCTTCGAGCATGTGGTAAAAATATTGGGGGCTGGGAACAAAAGCAGAAAAGCCAAATACAGTCAATTTCGTTACCAGTTTCAAAAAGCAGCTATTGCAGAAACTTCCAGGCACTGACAAGCGCAGCGGCCGTGGTAGCACCCCTGGGAGCCAGGCTCGTGCCCTGCCCGCCCCGCGCCCCCCTGCCCTGCCCGCCCCGCGTCCCCCTGCCCAGCCCTGCCCTGCCGCCCTGCGCCCGCTCGCCCCCGCAGAGCAGGGCCGCAGGCCTTAGTCACCACGAGAAGGGCGCTGGGCTTGTCCAGTTCTGCACTGGAGTTCAGTTCGCCGACACCTAGCATACGACCCAGCGCCCATCCCGCCGAGCGCCCCCCTCGGTGCCGGCACCCATCACCCCCACCCCCCACGCTCCCCTTCCGCCCCCCTTGTTCGTTTCCCAGGGTGAGGGGGCTCTCGTGTGCGGTCCCCCTCACCGATATTTCCCGCTCATTTCCTCTCCTTTCCCCTTTATTGTGTGAAGCGTTTCCAAGTTGCTTCTCATTTTTAAAGTGGGAAACGTCTCTGGGTCCCCACATCGTTTATCCTCCTTCCACCTCCTTCGCTCTTCTTTCCTGCTCCTCCTCGAGTCCTTGAGCCTCCATCCTCCACCTCTTTTTCAACTGCCTTCCCGTCTTTTCTTACCCAGCTCATGGATCCTCCCATCTCTCCCTCCCCCTGCCTCTCAACTCTCCAAAAAAGGAGAGCAAGCACAAAAACCCTCCATTGAGACATTTGGCAAAAAGCCTTGTAATCATATGTTTATTTTAATTTCATTTTGTCGTCTTCCAAAACAGGCCTGTGCAGAACCACGTTTCTGTTTGCCTCCTAAGCATGTGAAGTTATTCAGGGGTAACGATACACAGTCCATTTGTAAACAAACATCTTTTTGTCTTTTTTTGCTGTTTTTTGTGTGTGTGTGATATCTGAATGAGCAATTTAAGTGTATGTTTGTATAGCTACTTACCAAGCATTTTATACTGGGTTACAAAAAGGAGGAGGTATAGGTGGTTATCTTGTAAATCATGGTTTGCAACGCTGCAACAGAGTGGAGCTTGGGGAGTAAATGAGGGAGGAGTACACTCTGTCATCTTTATGTCATCTGTCTACAATGGTGGGCCGCCAGAGGAGACAGCTCAGTGGACAGGTGAAAGATCACTTGCCATAAGTTCAGCCCAAATGTGAGCCAAGACCCAGGGTGCTCTTGGTGAGAAAGAAACCCAGATGTTAGGTCATGGGAGACCCATGACTCTGATACAGCAGTTCAGATGGAGTGGCAGCAGGACAAGGGGTGTATGTGTGTCCGGGGAGGAAGAAGTTAGAGACAAAGCCTAGAGTGCATACAGGGTAGGGTTGGGAAGGGACACGGACTATGGCTTACTTGTCCCTGTTGGCCTGGGAGTGACTTCTGAAAGGACAGATCCTGACCAAACTATATGTTCTAATTCCATGTTTTTCAAAGGTATCTGTGAAATCATTTGATGAACTCTGCTCATTTTCTACCAATATGACATTACATTAGGGAGAAATGCCCAATTGCAGTTTTGGGTGCCATGTGAGTCTTTGTTATTTATTGGAAGGAGATATAATGAAAGTAGAAGGGCAATACATTTTACACACACACACACACACACACACACACACACACACATGATTCAATAGCATCATGTATAGAGCTGCCTGCCTGCTATTTTGTTTTTTTCCTTTCAATATTAGGAAATAAGGTCAGACAGGATTCTCCTCATATTCTGGTTTTGCCTTTGCAGTGTGTGCATATGTCTCTGAGCAATACTATTTTTCTCAATCAGAATGTGTTAGATGGGGATCCCTGGGTGGCGCAGCGGTTTGGCGCCTGCCTTTGGCCCAGGGCACGATCCTGGAGACCCGGGATCGAATCCCACGTCAGGCTCCCGGTGCATGGAGCCTGCTTCTCCCTCTGCCTATGTCTCTGCCCCTCTCTCTCTCTCTCTGTATGACTATCATAAATAAATAAAAATTAAAAAAAAAAGAATGTGTTAGATGTACTTTTAGAGGTGTCAGATGTCCTGTTTTACTCTCAGGGGAATGTCTGTATATTCTATGCAAAGATCCCAGGGGACAGAGTTCCTTAAACACCAAATAATAATAATAACAAAAGTAAAACCCATAAATATTCCGAGTGCTGATCACACCTGAGCAAAGAACCAGCATCTGATGTGCATGTGGACAGTAAGATTAAAGAAAGGAAAAGCTAATTCTGTGTCTTAGTCTGAGGGAGCAGTGAAAGGAGACCGAGAAATAGATGATGAAAAAGACAAGCAAGGAATAATAAATATCTTGTGTGGTTTTTCTTCTTTCGCAGTTCTGTTTTGACCCCAAAGTGGATGATGCAGTCAGGGCTGAACCACTAATCAGAGTCTGAAAATCTCCCATCTTCGTGTTGGCCATTGGTTGAGATAAGATGGAAGATTCTTACAAGGATAGGACTTCACTGATGAAGGGTGCCAAGGACATCGCCCGAGAGGTGAAGAAACAAACAGTGAAGAAGGTGAATCAGGCCGTGGACCGGGCCCAGGATGAATACACGCAGAGGTCCTACAGTCGGTTCCAAGATGAAGAAGACGATGACGCTTATCCACCAGGAGAGACCTATGATGGGGAGGCTAATGATGATGAAGGCTCCAGTGAAGCTACTGAGGGTCATGATGAAGATGATGAAATCTATGAGGGGGAGTATCAGGGCATCCCCAGCATGAACCAAGGGAAGGACAGCATTGTGTCAGTGGGGCAGCCCAAAGGGGATGTGCACAAGGATCGGCAGGAACTGGAGTCAGAGAGGAAAGCTGAGGAGGAGGAGCTAGCCCAGCAGTATGAGCTAATAATCCAAGAGTGTGGTCACGGGCGTTTCCAGTGGGCCCTTTTCTTTGTCCTCGGCATGGCCCTTATGGCGGATGGTGTGGAGGTGTTTGTTGTTGGCTTCGTATTGCCCAGCGCTGAGACAGACCTGTGCATTCCAAATTCAGGATCCGGATGGCTAGGTGAGTGCACCATGTCCATGAGACAGATTCTGAACCCGGATTATTTGTGAGCATAGTCGACAACTAGAATAAATACATTTCATCTAGAATGCTATGTTAGTTAATATCTAACACCATATTTTCTCTATCATCTGTCCATCAATCAATCCAACTTACGTCTTTATGCATTTCAAAGTGTTAGAGTAATATATTTTAACCTACATTATAAGTGTTTCATTGGTTTCTCCTTTATTAACTTCCAAAGATACGCCATTAGAAGTAAATAAAGCTATTACATGAAAGCCCATTTGAGTACTTTTCTAAGTATAAAGGTTAATTCTATAAAACGGACAGATGTGATTTCAAATTTCAAATTTTATGTGTAATACTATGATTTGAATGCTTTGGGGACCCTGCTAATTTTAATTTTTTTGTATAATCTATGTGTATGTTTGCTTGTTTATTTCTTCAGTTAGTCTTATTCATAGAATTTTTCTAGATGACTTTTTCTGTTTTTCAAAGTTCATGCCTTTGTGCCTACAATGGAAAAGCTTCCTCATATGTTTAAAAAATCTCTTTCAAGTGATATTAATACCTAAATTATATGTATAAAAATAATATGACCTCTCTATAAAATATCTAGATAGCAGATCTGATTTTTGTTTTAAAGTTACCATGGGGCTTCTGGGTGTCTCAATCAGTTAAGCATCTGACACTTGATTTTGGCTTAGGTCATGATCTTGGGGTTGTGAGATTGAGCCCCACATCGGGCTCTCTGCTGGACATGGAACCTGCTTGGGATTCTCTCCTTCTCTCTTCCTCTGCCCCTCCCCCTGCTCATGTTCCCACACACTCTCTAAAATAAATAGGTAAATAAACAAATAAAAATGCAACAAAAATAAAGTTACCATGCACTCAAGGTTCATGTTATTACGAAGTGTCAGTTAACATTCCCACTTACTTCCCTTGTGGGAGGGAAAATTAGAAGGCCAAGAAGCATGCATACAGCTACATATTGCTAACAACTTAAGAGTCTACCTCAAACATTTGGCATATTAAGTCATGAGGACTTTCAAACTCCTTTGCTAATAAGCACATCTCAGAGAACATGTTCATGTGCATAAGAAATCTTTGTGTCTCAGAGTCTGTGAGAGAGAGAGTAGAAATATTCGGTATCTATATTCGCAAGGGACTTCATTAAACTAAGTTTGAAAAACAAAAGTAGGTGGACAGCCTGGGTGGCTCAGCGGGTTAGGACCACCTTCAGCTCAGGGTGTAATCCTGGAGATCCGGGATCGAGTCCCATGTCGGGCTCCCTGCATGGAGCCTGCTCCTCCCTCTGCCTGTGTCTCTGCCCTCACTCTCTCTCTCTCTCTCTCTCTCTCTGTGTGTGTGTGTGTGTGTGTCTCATGAATAAATAAATAAAATCTTTAAAAGAAAAACAAAAGGCAACTTTTTTGTGGAAACCTAGTAACTTTATTGAGTAATGTTATAATCATGGATGCTAATGACAGGATGAGCACTGGGTGTTATTCTGTATGTTGGCAAATTGAACACCAATAAAAAATAAATTTATTAAAAAAAAGTTTTCTGTGTTGAAAAAAAGTAAATACCATTTTTTAATACTAAATTTATTTTTTATTGGTGTTCAACTTGCCAACATACAGAATAACACCCAGTGCTCATCCCGTCAAGTGCCCCCCTCAGTGCCCCCCATTCACCCCCACCACCCGCCCTCCTCCCCTTCTACCACCTCTAGTTCATTTCCCAGAGTTAGGAAGTCTTTATGTTCTGTCTCCCTTTCTGATATTTCCTACCCATTTCTTCTCCCTTCCCTTCTATTCTCTTTCACTATTATTTATATTCCCCAAATAAATGAGAATATATAATGTTTGTCCTTCTCCGATAATACCATTTTTAAAAAATATTTTTTTAAATATTTTTTCTTTTTTATTTACATATTTTTAACTTTTTAAATATTTTTTAAATGTCTATTTATTTATTTATTTATTTATTTATTTATTTATTTGAGAGAGAGAGAGAGTGCGCAGCAGGGAGGTGGAGGCAGGGGAGAGGGAGGGAGACAATCTCAAGCAGACTCCCCACTGAGTGTAGAGCCTGGTATAAGGCTCAGTCTCACCACCCTGATCATGACCTGAGCTGAAATCAAGAGTCAGACTCTTAACCAACTGAGTCACCTAGGTGCCCCCAAATCCCATTTTCATAACCAGCTCTGTGACATTGCAAGAGAGATAATCATGAATGAGAAAAAATTTTACATCTTACTCCTTTAACACTTGTTTCTTTATATGACTTCCTCCTAGCATCTATTTTTTTTAAATCACAACTCAAAGAGATAGATCCGTGGAAGCAGACTGTGAGGGAGAGCGGGTGGGAATGGGACATATTTTGCATGCTTTTGGTGGTAAACTCATCTGTGTGTTCAGCCATCAAAATGCAAAACAGGATTCTGAGGAAGGTCCTTCTTCACTCGTCAGATTGATCATTTCAATGCATCGCTTGTGTATCTAGCTCTGTATTTTATCTTTGTTTTCTTTTGGTGAGCAGATATATCGACTGTAAGCCTGGGCATGAAAATATTTATTAAGATTTTGCAAAAGGAATACATCAGCAGAACATTTTAAGAAGATAGATCCTTAGAAATACATCCACACACATATTTAATAATTGCAAACTTAATTTTAGGATAGAAATCTTTTCAAGTTGTGATCCTAGCTTTTATACTGGAAACATTTCAGGAAAATCTAAGCTAAGCTTGCCCTTGTGCCTTTATCTTTTCGGTGGTGAATGGAACCACAGTATTACCCATGGTACCCTGGTCTATTCCAGAAACCCGTAAATGCTGATGATGTTACACACCCCAAGGTAGCATTCAGAAGTGTAGGTAATGCTGTAGAACAATCGGAGCACAGATATTTTCATCTTTTCATAAGTGTTGACTGCTTTAGCGAATTAAAAATGTGTCCCCAAGAGTGTATGGTTTCACTCAATGTTTTGAGTCCTCAGCAGAAGCATCTTAATGGTTTCATAACTGTGCCTTCCAGAGTTGCATTTCAGTTACTTTGCCATCGTAATTTCACTTAGAATTTCATTCTAATGGAGTTTTTTTAGACAAGCATTTAAATTGTGTTGCTATTTTCATTTCATTGAATAATAGCTTTGTAATATAATTACCACACTGAGTCACAGCAGCAGGATCAAAATGCAAGAAAGATGCATGACCCATGTTTGGTGGTACTTTGGGGATATAGAGTTGCAAAATAATTTCTCTTTTGCTACTGGGCACTTTGTCATTTTCTCAAGGAAGACTGGGAACAAAAAATATGAACCAATTTATGTCTCAATTATTTGGGAGGTAGATATCTCTTGGCATTTGCTAGGAGGTTGACTTAAAGGTACTTAAGAGCATCCTGTGTGTGCATGTGTCTATGTGTATGTCTCTGTGTATATATAACATTGTAATAGGCTGGGAAAAAGTTAGAGTAAATATTTAATTATTTAGCAAGCTGCTCTTTGAAGGAATAAGTTCAGTCACTTTAAGATAATCCATGCTTTATTGCCAAAGTCTATTTATTGAGCACACTTATTATGTGCAAAGCACAGTGTTACCACAAGGGATAATTGGACAAATAAGGGCCAGCTTTCTACATCCAAAGAAGTTATAGTCTGGTATGGAGAAATCGCAGATGTCTGCATGTTAGTGCATGCATGGTATATACCATATACTGCATGGTATAAAGAAGCAAGTATCAATAGCTGGAGGAGAGGCGTAAAGAGAGAGACTTGAGGCTGAGAGATCACATAAGGGGCTAGGACCTCAGCAAGGCAGTGAGGAAAGGGCAAGGATTTGAGAGCTGTTCCAGAGGTAGAGTCAGCAGAAATTGGTTCTCAATTAATTTGGATGGTGAAACAAGTGGATAGTTGATGAAGAGAAGACGAATCATCAAATTAAGTAATGCAGAGGACAGATTTTAACATGAGGAAGAAGGATGAAGAGTTTATTTTAGACTTTTCACTATGAGATCCTTGGGGGGAGGTGTCCAAAGAGCCCCATAGGCTACTGTTCATTTTGGTTGAAGCACGGTTGGTTTGTGAGCAATCTCATTTAAGATGACACTGCCAGTGACCTTAACCAGGGGGAGAGTGGGGTTCTGCAGAATGCTGTTTATGGGGGTGGCTTTGAGGAGGACTGAGAAAGAGAAGCCAGAGCAAGAGGAGCATCCAGGAGAGTGAGTAGACCTGGAAGTTTCGGGGAAAGGAAGAGATGTGTAACTGTCTTAGGTGCTGTCAAGACTTGCAGGAAAGGTTGCAAAGGGTCTCTCGATTCAGGCACTTAAAAAGTTCTCGGCTATGCAAACGGCTCTTTCAATGAACACAGTGAGGAGGGCTAGGTGAATAAAAGGTTCAATACCTGAAGACAACCCAGATTTTTAAACAGCATATGTGGAGTATCCGTGACTTCAGCTGCCACTCTGGTGTTCCAATAGATTCTGTGTTGGACTAAGTGGTGTTTATGCAGTGGCTTCACGTGTGGGGCGTAGCCCAAGGCCTACGAGGGAGATTGAGATGAGTAAGGATTGGTTCCTGTTATCAAGGGAAATCATGGAATTTCCCAGCTGTTGGTGTCTTAGTGATTTAGGGAGACCCTGTCATCTTAAAAGTGAGGGGAGGAGCTCTGTGAGTGTGGGCGACTTGCCTGGTCCAGGACTGAGTACTAAGAGAGGCAGACTGTGGAACACACATCCCATGTTCCTTTCCAGTTCTCTAACATTTTCATTTAAAGTCCTGTTGATTGAGTGTACTTCTAGGAGAATACAATAATGTCAATTACTGGCAGAAATATATCTGGTATCTCAAGGGATGGTCTAAAATCATTTTTTGTTCATGGACGCCACAGTATAACCACCAGTCGGCATTAGATCTTTTTCTTCCTTTCCCAAAACCCTAATAGAAGGTATTGTCTGATTTTGTTTTTTGTTTTTTTTTTTGTATATATAGAC